GGGTGGCTGGTGCCACCAGTCTACTGTTATCTAAGCAAAGGAATGTCCAGGAGGGGCTTATTGCTTAACATTCACACACTGCTAGCAGCAGTTGTGTAAGCAATCAGTTATTTTATGAGACAAACAAAAATTAAACCTAACAAAGTTCTAAGTACAAACACTGCAAACAAACACAGTGAACGTGGGGTAAGAATTCATATAGTAATAGTTCTCTTAGAGTTTTTTCTTTGAATCTCTTGGGTCTCTCATCCTCATAAATGGAATCATACAATTTGTGACCTTTTGTGCCTGGTTTTTTTCACTTAACGTAACCTTTTTGAGGTTCAGCCATATTGTAGCATGTATCGGTGTTTTGTTCCTTTTTCTGGCTGAATAGTATTCCATTGTATGGATAATCCACATTTTGTTTGTTCATCAGTCAAGCGTTTTAGTTGTTTAGAACTTTTGGCTACTGTGAATAGCGCATATTGTTGTGTGAATACTTGTTTTCAAGTCTTTTGAGTACATACTCTGAGTATGTACTTTGAGTAAACTTGCAGGGCCATATATTAATTCCATTTTGTTTTTTGAGGAACAATCACCCTGTTTTCCACAGCAGCTAAACTATATTACATGTCCCCAGCAATGTGCAAGTTTTGCAATTTTCCCAAATCCTCATCAACACATGTTATTTTCCCTCTTTTTGATTCTAGTCATGCTGTGGGTATGAGGTGGCATCTCATTGTTGCTTTGATTTTCATTTCCTTAATGACTAATGACACTGAGTATCCTTTCATGTGATTATTAGTCATTTGTATATCATATTAGGGAAAATGTGTATTCAAACCTTCTGCCCTTTTTAAAATAGACTTTTTGCTGTTGGGTTATAAGAGATTTTTATATATTCTAGAAACTAGAGCCTTCTGAGATATATGATTTGCAAACACAGAAATTCTCCCGTTCTGCGGATTGTATTTTCACTTTCTGATACACAAAGTTTTTAATTTTGATGAAGTCCAAGTCATCTATTTTGTTGTTGTTGTTGTTACTTGAACTTTTGGTGTCATATCCAAGAATCCTTTGCCAAATCCAGCATGATGAGATTGCCCAGTGTTTTCTTCTGAGAGTTTTATACTTTTTGCTCTTTGGGGGTTTTGATCTACTCTGAGTTTCTCTTTGTGTATGGCATGAGGTGGAGTCTCACTTCAGTTGCCCTAGTTCTACTTGTTGAAGGGACTGTTGTTTTTTCCCACAGAACGATCTTGTCAAAATCAATTGTCCACAGATATGTGGGCTTATATCTTTATCTCTTCCACTTGTCTACATGTCTGTCTTCATACCAGTCACACTGCTTTGATTATTGTAGCTTTGTATTGTGGTTAGTTTTAAAATTGGAAATGTGAGTCCTCCAATTTTGTTTTTCTTTTTTTAAGACTATGTGGCTATTCAGGGAACAACCTTGTTTTGTACCCTTTTTTGCTATGAGAAAATGAAGGCAGAGGAGATTGCATGACCTTCTGGGCTGGCTCAGAAGTTGGTCAGCAGCAGTGTGGGTGCAGCAATGGCAAAGGGAAGGAAGAGATGCAGGGTTGGTGACAGGCAAGGGTGACTGTGGGGGCTGGAGCACATGCGCCTTTGCCTTGCCTAATGTGAGCCTGCCATCCTGACCTGATTAATCCCCCTGCCCACAGTCTACAGATCACTCCTCATGTGACGTTCATTGAACATTTACATGATGTCTCCTCAGGAAGCCCTCCACCAGCCCACAAGTCACCTAAACTCCCTGAAATGAGACCCTAGGACCACTCACCTGAGCATCCTCCTGAGCCCCAGCTTCTCACTGGTCAGAGCAGACCCAGCCCCAGCTTCAGGCCAGGGGAGTAATTTGGCCTGAGGAAGGGTGTGGCACCCTGTCTGTTGCCCTCTTTGAAGCTACCTTTGCCAGGCCTTCACTGAAGGGCAAGAGCCCAAGGTCAGGCAAGCTGGTCAACACCACCAGTCCCCTCTAGGGAGGGGCTGTGCCACCTCCTGTGCCTGCCCCTCCCCAATAAGGGCGGGGATGGGCCAACCCAAAACTGATGGGTGGCTGGGGGACTTGAGCTGAACTTAGCTGTGGGCTGACCCCACGGGCTAGGTCATGACCACTGGCTGTGGTCACCAGCCTCTCCTTTCTTGCTGAATTCCTCAGCTGTGTCTTGCTCCAGATCTGCTCCTCCCTCCCTTCCCTGGGGATCCCCCACTGTGTCCTGGGAGGGCCCTGTAGCTGCCTGGGAGCTATGCCAGAAGTTGGAACCTTCCTTCACCTATGGTTTTGCCTGTGGCTACAGGGCAAACTGAGATCGTCCACTCCCCCATCCCCTTTCTCAGGGACAAGGCAGCCTGTCCTATCCTCAGAAGAGGACTTGTAACACCTCCTCCCTCCCACAGTCCTCAGGGGCTCCACCTCCCACTTCAGCCTCTTTGCCCTGGATTGGAGTTTCTCAGCTCTGTGACCAACTGTGCCCTCCCACCCAGTAGGATGTAACTACTTCCACAGAGAACCACACTGTCAGAAGACAGTTTCCCCTCTCCAGGAATCAATGAATCCCAAAGAGAATCAGCAGGCCAGAGAGGCTGCAGTCTTCTCTCAGCTCTGCCCTTCTAGTGCCCTACCTAGGGTTTACTTCTTGCCCTGGGATTCAGCCTCTTCTGCCAAGATCGCAGGACCCTGCTCCTTGGACCCTGGCAAAGCCTCCTGCTTAGGAAAGGGCTCTCCCCTGTGATCCCCTGGATTTCCTACCAACCCCTCTTGGACCAGTGCCACACAGTTCAGGCTGCACTGAACACTCCAGTTAGGCTGTGCCCTGAACCTGCAAGCCAGGTGTGTAGGCCATCACCCCCAGCCCTTGGGCTGCCAGCCAGGGCCATGAGGCCACAGCCATCCGTTTACACACAGGCCTGTGATTCCTGGAACCAGACAGGGGGACAGACACCTACTCTCTTGTTCTCTATCCCTCCATGGCTGGCTGACAAGAGCACCCCAGCCAGGTCCCTGCCCTGTGTCCCTGCTGCCACCTTGGCTCCTTCTCTCAAGTAGCCTTCCCTGGAGAAGACCCTGGGAATGACAGCCCATCCCAGGACACCCTCACCAAGAACAGCAAAGGTAGGGATGGTGGTGTGGGCAGCATAGGACCTGGTGCACTGGGCAGTGCCATTTTTCGGACCCATCACGACCCAGTAGTGGATCCTTCCCATCAGATCAGCTCAGAGGATGCAGCCATTTGGCCTTACTCTAAAAACTGCTCTTAGTTTTGGGGACGGAGAAAGCCCTGCAACCAGGCCTGTTGACAGGGCACCAGGAGCCCTTGCAGGGCCATGGTTCAATTCCCCTCAAAGCCTCAGGAGCCTCATCTGTTTGTACGGATACAACCCCTCAACTCCAGACCTCTGGAGCTGGAAGCAACTTCAGGTCTTCCCTGAGATTAGGGTAAGGTTCCGCGGTGAACCTGGAATCTGAATGGGGAAGGGTGGAGAGTTGGCTTTGTGGAGCCATCCTTCCAGAGCTGAGACGTGGGCGAGCTGAGGGCTTCTGTGCTCTGTGCTGCAGGCAGAGTCTTGCAGACTTTTGATTGAAGCTGCTTTGAGATGCTCAGCCAAGCAGTGTGGATTGCAGGAGGAAAAGGCCAGAAGCCGGCACTGGTCCAGGAAGGAAGAGGTGGAGGGAGGAGCAGGCAGAAGCCTTGTGGAGAAGGGAGAGCAGACAGGCCCCGCAGGAAAGCTGTACTTGTCCTAGTGTCCTAGGGACACCAAGGCGGCCATGCACTGAGGTCTCTGTGCTCCAGGCAAGTACAGCACTCGTCCTAACACAGCAGACCACATGTGGGTGCCCCATATCTCGGCTTCCCTTTTGTTTAAGGAGACTAGGCCAAGCAGGGAGGAGCAGAAAAACAGCCACAGGGAAGGCCAAGCCCAGCCCAACCCAGGCTGAGTGTTTGGCATCATCCCCTACAGCCAGGGTGCTCAGACCCAAGACAGGTGCCTGCTCCCAGAGAAACCAAAGGTGCACCCCTCACCACCCTATGGGTAGCCATGCCTCACTCTGAACTGGCTTTTGCTCCTTTGACTTGGAGAAGGGAGGCCTGCCCAGACTTCTGCTGATCAAAGAGACTTGGCAGGGCAGAACAGGCTGCCAAAGAGCTTTGCCTTGAAGTTGATGCCCCACGGCAGGGGGCTTGGAGAGAAATGGAGGGTGGGGTTCAGGCAAGACTACTCTCAAGAATAATGGTGCCCAGGTTTTCTCAGTCCTGCATGCTTCATGCTCAGCTTGAGGTCTCATTCATCCCATCCCTACTGCCAAGTGGCAGCCCCCAGGTTTGGGGAGGAAGGGCACCCTGGGGTTCAGACTTCAGAGTCCAGCTGTTCTGGACAGAAGACTCAGTCCAGGACCAGGAGGACCTTCCAGAGTCCAACTGATTGTCCAGACAGAGCAGAGACTGGCACCCCATTTTACAGACACTATGCAGGAGCAATCCCAAGAGGTGTTCTGGGACAGAGGTCCTTTATAAGGATAACTGGATCTCTGAGTTAATATCGGAAATGAGAGTTGTCCCCAAGTGTCACCATTGAGTGGAGAGGCAAGGAGCACAGAGCAAGCTGGAGGGTGGCATCTGCAGGCCAGGGAAGACCCAGGGCAGCCCCTTGTCTCTTTGCAAAGGGTTCTGCAGAGTCTCCAAGGCCCGCTTTTTTTCAGGCAGGGACCCTGATTACCATTTGCAGAAAGGTCTCCAACTGAGGAGTTGGACCACTCTGTCAGCCTGCTCCACCCAGAGCTGCCAGTCACTCCTAGGAGTCACTTTTCTCTCCAGCCACACTTTGTGGCTTCTGCTTCCTCCTTCAGGATGCTGTCCAAGAGGCCCCTCGGCCCCTGCAGAGGAATGAGAACCTGTCTTCTGCTGCCCTACAGGGCACCACAACATCTCCAAGGATTCCCAGTGGGTCAGGTATCACAGCCCAGCTGATCTCAGCCCATGCTCTCCAACTCCTGCTGTCTGCAGGTGCCCACTCACCACCTCTGCCTCCCACTGACAGCAGGACCGAGCCCTCGTCAATGGGGACGTCATTGGCAGTGACATTTGTGAGCAGGCACATATGGGTGGCAGCAACTGTAATTGCTCAGTTTCTTTGGAAACTTGCTTTTGGAGTCTCCAAAAGATGATCATGAAGTCGAACAGAAAATGAAAGCTGTCACTCTCCAACAGCTGGGAAGGGAGCACCCACGCACAGGAATTCCATGGCATGAATGCTGAATCATTTCTGAGGAAGCACTGGAGACCAGTAGGCCTGCTGGTCTGTCTAGGAGCCTGGTGTCTGCTCAGACTGCTCCCTGTGTCTTCTCAGCAGAGTCCAAGCCCGGCACCCTGCAGATCCCTTGCCCCTCCCTAGCCAAAGGCAGAGGGGGACCTTAAGCCAGTAGTCAAGACCCAAGGTCACCCCCAAGGAAGACGGGAATGTAGAAAGGAACCCACCACACCCCAGTGGGACTGGGCACTACCCACCTCAGCCCCAGCACAGACAACTTTAAATGGCCCCTCTCAGGTCCTTACTCGGCATCAGTGGAAGGACAAACCTAGGCTTGGTCACATGCCCACTCACTCAGGGACAAACACAGTGGTTCCTGTTTATTTGTTTATTCATCCATTCTTTCTTTCTGTCACACATTTGTGCCTCCACTGTCCAGACAGGCAAGGACTCCAAAGCAGAAGGGGGTAGTCTTAGTCGGAGCCACATAGGCCATCATGGTAGCTGGGTGAATAGCATGAACTGAGTCCTTAAACACACTCACATGCTCTGCATGGAGTGGCCCCAGTAGTGGTGGTGGTATTGGGGGAGTATGTCTTGTCAGCCATGCCCATCTTCCCAGAGCTCCCACCCTGACCACACCTGACTAGCACAGACTAGGTCTGCTACTACTGCCCTGCAGATGACAGGAGTATGCAGCAACACAGGGAGAGACTAAGGTACCTGCAGCCAACTAAGGTGCATGTAGCCCCTCCCAGGTGTGACCCTGGTCTTGGCTCCAGACATCTCAGGAGGTTTGTGCCAAACTGTGCTCTGGCTAATGAGAAACCCTCATCCCAGGCTGTCCTGGATGGGTGCTAAGTCTCTGTGTGTCTGATGAAAAGTAGGGCAGAGTCAGGCAGAGGCTGTCTTGGGAACAGTGAGGTCCTGTTCCACTCTTCTTGGCTGCTGTGTGCCCTGGGATGGTTTCCTGTCTGCAAATGTACACTCTCCCCTTGGTTGATGGGGAGGGGAGAAGCAAGGAAGGAGGCTCCATGGGTGGGAACAACTGGAGAGAAGCGGGGAGGAAGCACTGGAGTGGTGCAGAGGCACCTGGTAGAGGCATCTTCTCTGTGCATTGCTACCCCTGTCACCACATCTGAACAGCTTCAGCAAAGTCACCTAGAGCCAGTTCTTCTGACCACTGGGGTAATGGACTTCCTGCTGCCTGGCCAGTTGTCCCCAGGACCCAGCCTCCCTACTTGTCACCAAGGCCCTCTGGCAGGTGCCAGTCCATCTAGAGCTGTGAGGACTGTCCTGCCTTTGTCCCTCCCTGTGTCATGGAGTCTATGTGACAAAAACCAGAAAGTGTTTGTTTATCTACTTCCCTTTCTCTTTGTCCCTTTCTCCTTCCATGCACAATTGCTTCCATGGGGTCATCTCGGCAGAGGGTCACCACTAATCATTGATTATCTTCATATCCTAACCTCCTAGGGCTGCCTACAAGATTAGTCAATCTGTTTTCTTTTTAAAGAACAATGGTCCTGAGGTCATACAGTCCTCCTTGACAGTCAGAAGTTTGGTTGGCCAAGGGATTCAAGCAGCTTTGATCACTGGGAATCTCATCCCCAGCCTACCTACCCCACTCATTGCTTATGTTCAAAGGCAGTTGGGATTTGAGTTTGCCTCTCCTGCCTTCATACTTTGGCCAAATCGAAGAAACTTTCCTCTGCTCCTAAGTGCTGATATGTCAGTGTTTGACATGCATGTGCACATCATGTACTGGAACCTAACTTGTGGGGTCTACAGCACCTGCCCCTTGGCCTAAGTTTCATCTGAACTAGGGACTGATACCATGCCAGGGCTGGTCATAGTGGTTCTTCTCCCCAGTAAAGCAAAACCTCTTTGGCTCCTGGGGCGGGGCCCCCAGAAGCTGGGTTGGGAGCTGGGTCACAGTGGCAGCATCTACTCTGCTTGGCGTGAAGAGATGCCAGGCCGAGCTCGTCTCTCAGGGCCTCTTCTTAGATCTCCACCGAACAAACAATGAAACGTAGTCGCACGCCATGCCCAAACTCATATGACTGCTAAGAGGTGGGGCCCAGATCTGAACTTGTTTCCTGCTATTCAGGGAAAGCACAAGTGGGCTAGCTCAGGAGCCCTCCTAGGTATAGACACAGTGCGTTTGCTTTGGGGTTATGCTTTTTCCTCATTAGATTTCTGTTGCTTTCAATCAGATGACATAACCAGAACAAGTAAAGAGAAACTGCACCCTGGTAGGGAGGTAAGGATGCACCCCAGGGGCTCTCCCTGGGGAGCCCTGCCAGGCCACCCTCATCCTCTCATGCCTCAGCCCCATTCTCCCTGTACCCCAAACTTCCTTTGCACTCTCTCAAGTGCAGATCAAGACTGAGCACCCAAGACATCACCGAACACCAAGGAGACCAAGACAGGAATAAACAAGGAGAATAGGCTGACCCCAGGCAAGGGAGGGGAGGCTGCTAGGTGCCTGCACTATCCACACATGCTGTTCCTACAGTTTTTCTCACAGTTGTTCTCAAAAGGGCCCCAGTACTCCTCACTCATCTGCTCCCCTTGACGTCATGACAATTAGAGCTCACAGTCCATGGAGGGGGGGGACAAAATGTTCCCTCTCTGGGGGAAGAGCCTGGCTGCGAGTCTTGTGATCTGTGATACCGTGACCTGGCAGCTGTGGTAAGGATTTCTTTAGGGGACCATTGTCCACCTGGGAGGCACCTGGTCCATGGCTGTGGCTATGGTCATCAGGTTCTGAGGCCTGCTGTCTACACTGCTGCCCAGAGGCCCAGAAACTGAGGTCCAGACACTGACGTCCAGAGGTTGGAGACTGACCTACCAGAAGAAATTGCCCAATCTGGTCAGATTAAGAGGAGACAGACAATTATAGTGATTCTATCAAGCCTCAAACCAGGGGAACTCCAAATCTGGACTCGAAGCATGTGAGAGACCTCACAGAGAGAGTGGGAGCTTGGGCCAGGTGCTCCTCACCCTGCGGGATGAGGTGTGCAGGCGGCCATGCCAGGCCCAGGCAAGAAGGAGCAGGCCAGAGCATGTAAATCACAGGGGTCTGTGAGTCACAAATGTGACGAATCAGAGGGCATGTGGGGGAGGGCAGAGAACTGTACACTTGGATTAGGTCCCCAAAGACTCCCTCTCCAGCAATGACTCAGTGTCTCTGGGTGAAGGGAGCAGTCTCCTCTAGGAGGCAGGGCAGGAAACCCCAGACCCCTCTGAGGTTCTGCCAACAGTTGTGGGGTAGGAGGAGTTGGAGGGGAGCCGCCTTCCTGCTCCAGACCCTCACAGTGGCTGAAAAGCCCTCAGGCATTGGGGGCGGAGGGTGTTAGCACAACGCCCATCCATGGACCCTTTCCAGCTCTGAGGTGAAACTACAGCCCCTGGCATTCAGGTCTTCTTGTCACATGGGGGTTATCTTGGGGTTCTCTGCCAAGGATGCTGAATTATTTACTTTATCCCATGTCTGCCCACCAGGCATCTGGGCTCCTGACCTGGCCCAGGTCATGGGGTGAGCAGGAGGCCTGGGGATGGGTAGAGGGACACAGCAGCTGTGGAAGCAAGCCCTCCAAAACACCAGAACCCATCCTTCAGTCCTCACCCCCTCTTCCACAGAACCCCACGCCTGCCAGCTCCCCTTTGCAACTAAGCTCTCTTCCTTCCACCTGCATGGTGCCCACCAGCCCTCGGGTCTTCCTCAGAGGCATCTGAGCTGGGTCACTGCACACCCTCCTCTCTCAATTGGGTCATTGGTCCTGGACCCTCTCCCGTCTCCAGAAATCTTCCCCACCACCCAGCAGCCTAAATCAACAGACCCGCTCTGCCCCTGTCCCGTCACTTTCGTTCCCGAGCATCCAAAAATCACGTGGAGGGGACCAAAAACCCAGCTGTCAATCTCCAACAGCGAAGTCATTTGCGGCCGCTCTGCAGGGCTGAGACAGCGGAGGTCTAGTTTCTTGGCCAGTGTCCGCGTGCAGCCCCCCTCCCCCCAAAAACATCAGGTGTGAGCTGGAGCCGGGCGAAAGGGGTGGCTGGAAAGGGCGTGGGGGAGGGGCTGCTACCGGGGTGCAGGCGAGGAGGGAGGTGGCGGGCCGAGGCGCGGACGGCGGGCTGGGGGACGGAGGTGCTGCGGGAGCGGACGAGCGAGGAGCGCTGCCAGGGTGCAGGAAGCCAGAGCGCGAGGGAGGGAGATGGGGAGCGGGATGCCGATTTCGGCTGGGGGTGGGGATGCCACTGATTGGGGCACAGAAAGCGTGATGTCACGTCCGGCGGGGGAAGG